TATAATTGCCTTGTTGCTTGTTGTATTTCAAAATGGATTTGTCACACTTGATTTTATTGGTTAAATGAGGAAGTTACCTTCCTATCCTTAACGAAATATTAATTGTGGTGTACATATATAATTAGTTAAAGAATGAATTTACAAAATTGTTTTTTCTCTTGGAAAAGAATTTACACAACACTAATACATGTGGACTAGAACTTTTCTCAATGTTTGAAAAGTCACCATAAACCTTTGCGTATATAACCAATGATCTCTCACTTGGTACACTAAAACAAAAACCATTAGTAGGTATCATTAATCCAATGCAATAGAGCAAGCGTCATATAAAATAATGGTCATGGGAAGCAAAACAATTGTTTTATTAAAAAATTACAACGATGCAATGAGTATTGGTAAAAAATTACAAACATATAACAATATATATATATATATATATATGAGAGAAAAAAAAGAAATATTAAAAATTTGATAAGGTCATTTGCATTTACAAATCCCCCATTAGGGAAAAGGACAACTAATTCATGTTTTAATTTCATCCATCCTCATCTTAACTATGTTTAGGATCAGTTAGGGATGGCAATTTACCCACCCATGGGTAATTTTGCCCAAACCCAAGTAGACCCATTTATTATGGGTAGGGTTTGGGTGATGTGTGTATGGGTTTGGGTTAGATATGGATATTATCTAAATGGGTATGGGTTGGATATGGATATCCATTTACTTGAGAGTGTTTTAACTACACATGCAAAAATTGGACCTATTTGTAAAACTTGAAAAGTTTAGGTACCAAAATATAAGGCCAAAAAAATTTAGGTACCAAAACGTAATTTTCCATTGATATTTTGAGGACTTATATGCAAAAAAAATTAATTTTAGGTACTAAATATGCATATCTATTAAGTTTAGGTACCAAACTGTAATTTGTATTTGGGCATGGGTACAAACCCAAATCCAACCCAAAATAAATGGGTATGGGTACAAACCCATCAAACTTTACCCATATCCATATATTTGGATTTCATACCCAACCCAATTGGGTTGGATAGTAAAATACCCATGGGTATGGGCAAAATTGCCATCCCTAGGATCAGTGACACTGACACATCTTAGTTTTTGTTACGGAGATGGGTTGGATTGTTTAATACGAGATAAGATGCTGTGCACACTTTGGGGCCTGATCAAGTTGCTTCTCCGTTGTTTATAAATTAATTAATTAATTGATGGTAGGAAATTAATCCATTGTTTATAATGTGATAAATGGTCCGATGGATTCCTCTCAAGCTGACTTCCCAATCTCATCTCCTTGAAAGCCTTGGCCTTTACCAGGAAACCCCATCCATCCAACTTGGATTAAGAAATTGGGGCGGGATACATTCACTTCCCTAGATGGGTCGTGATATTGACAAACAAGTGTACCGTAATGGAGATTGTACCGGAAAAAGTCAGTGGTAGGGTATTTTATGCTAAAATCGTGATTTAATTGTGGTTTAACCGCTAAATACATCTGGTACGGTATGGTATTTTCTGGTCAAACCTCCGATACGGTATTTCAATACTTGATTTGGGTATAAGAAAATGAATTTATTAATTAATTTGTTTTGTATTAGTTACAGGTTAGAAATTAAAAATCCAAATTAAATACATGATTATTTTTAAATTTAAAACCTACAATAAATACAACTCTCTCTTTCTTTTCCAACAACCACTCCACTTCGACCGGTCGACTTTCCGACCAACAGACTTTTTCCAACGAAATTCTTGAATCGGACTCGCTTCGGCCACGTGCAAAAAAATTACCACTCCGTCAGTGCGCTAGTGGTATGCTACTACTACCACTAGTATCACTACCAATACAACGCTAACACTACCATCTGGTAGTTGATAGTGCTAGCGTCCCACTATTATTTGATACCACTACCATGTGGTACCTGGTAGTGGTAGCATACCACTATCATTTGGTAACTGGTAGTGGTACGCTACCACTACCAGTTACCGGTAGGTACCACATGATAGTAGTATCCAATTATACCACTACCAAATGAAAATCACTACCACTATAAAAAATCTGATCGGAAAAACGAAGGCGAGGAGAGGAAGGGTATATTGGCAGAGGGACTCACACCAGAAGAGGCAGAGAGAGGAGGCACGACCTCGATGTCAGAAGAGGGCAGCGATAGAGAGCTGGTAACGACAGGAGGTGGAGGGAGGTGGAGGGCGGCGACAGCTGTGGAGTACGACAACGGTGGCAGCGGCGGTGCCGTCTGCTGGAGAGAGGGAGGAGGGAGAGTTGGAGAAGTTATAATTTTTTTTTTATTTCTATGAGAGGGAGAATGATTGGGTGTTGTAATATTTTTCGGGTAAATGCCACATTTGGTCACTGGGATTACTAAATTGTGCTATGTTAAGTCACTAGAAAATAATAATATTAATTTTGGTCACTCGAATTACTAAACATGTCACATTTAGTCACTTTCCCGTTAGCCTCCGTGCAACCCCGATCACTTGAATTACTTTTTGTTTATTATGAATGCCACTCGAATTACTAAAACATGCCACATTTAGTCACTCTCCGTTAGCCTCCGTCCAACTCCATTAAACTAAAGGGAGAGCGACTAAATGTGACATGTTTCAGTAATTCGAGTGACCAAAATTGATATTAATTTTTTTAGTGACTAAACATGACATAATTTAGTAATCTCAGTGACCAAATGTGACATTTACCCAATATTTTTCTTTCCAAAAATATCATTCTTTTAATCCTAACCATCAATTTGAAAAAAAAAAAAGACAAAAGAGAGTATATTCAATGATTAGGAAGTGAGTTGTTAATGTCACAACCCCACGAGGTTGTAACCGTATCCCATCCCTTAGAAATTCATCATCTCATCAACAGTAAAAAGAGTTAGGTAACAAGCAACACTACTATTATGTGTCACAACTCCAAAGCACACAACATCTCTCACCAAGTATAATCAAGTTCCAACAACCACAACAACAAATACATTCATATTTAAGTAAGTGGTTAACATCCAATATGACGTCTCAACAATTCGAGTTATTGAGACCAATTGGTTGGTGATATAATATCATAGTTGGTTTGTCCTTAAAATCATGTGTTCAAGTCTTCACGATCACTAGTAATAACCATTGTCTTAAAAGTAAATGGTATGTCGGACTCGTGCAAACTTCAAGCCAATGAGTTGGTTTTGTTTGAGAGGATATGTAAGTAAGTGGTTAAGATCCATATATTGAGCTCTCTCGACAACTCGAGTTATTGAGACTAATTGGTTTACGACACATTTAAATTAGAATGAATCGAGCAATACTAGAATATTGACGGTGATTATTTCTCAAATATGTACAATCCCTCCATCAAACTTCCCCCTATGTTTGCACATTAGGGGTGGCTATACGGTCCGGTCCAGTTAAATTGGCTCAAATTAATCCGGTCCAGTCCGGTTTTTTTGAAAATATAAGGACCGAAGATTGGATTGGATACAGTCCGGTCTTGATCCAGTCCGGTCTTGACCCGGTCCGGTCCCAATTCGGTCTTGATTTTATATTGAGATTGTGGGAATTTGAGTGGCCTAAGGCCTAAAAGGGTGAGGAGTTGGTTAAGTTTTGTACTAAGTGCAAAGGTTTGTGACCGTTTATGCAAATTATCCTTAAGTTTTGGGTGTTGAGCTCTCTTAGCCGGTCTTTATCCGGTTTTTTACCTCAAATCTAAGCCCAAAGATTGGATTGGATTGTTTACTATCCGGTCCCGGTCCGGTCTCGGTCCGGGTTATACGGTCCGGTTTCCGGTTTTTCATCCGGTCCCGGTCCAAATAGCCAGCCCTATTGCACATGACTCTAAGTTAAGTTTTGCCTAGCTTGGGCTCCATTCTTTTACCAAATTCTTGGTTCATACTTGTCTTGATGACCTCCACTCCTTAATAATAGTCTAAAATAAATTATAAATACATTCCATTATATTAGTATGTTATGTATGATACATGATATTATAATGAACAAAGAACCATAGTCGAATTTTTTTTTATATAATTAACATATCTCATGTTTATATAGATTAATTTGCTCATAATTTGTTAATCGAGTTGGCTCACTAGCCATAATATTGAGGCATCTCATGAGCTCAACACGAAGCAACTCACAAGTTGAGCTCAACATGAAACCTAATCGAGTTGAACAAAACTTAGTTCAACCTCGGCTCGATAGTAAATGAGTCGAACAACAAAATTTTCGTAACCCAAACGTCAAGCCGGTCATAAATAGCTCAGCTTAACTCATTTACAAAATTTTACATCCATGTACACCATCTGTGTGCTGCTAGCTTTGATCTTCTTCACCTTCCTACAACTACTCATCCACAACAATATTTATTGAAGAACACTAATCCGATCTTCTAGTGTACCAATCCCCTAGTGAGTAACTGATACTCAAGAGTTCTGATAAACTTGGAAGAACTCTTCATAAGTACACTTGATTATCTTTAAGTTTGTGTGTCAAGTTGCCCAACTTGCTAAACTATCCGAAGAATTAAGTATTGATATTGATTAAATGCAGTATGTGCAGAACTGCAAATATAAAATGGGGAAAGATTTAAGTAATAGTATTTGATTAAATAAAGGGGTTGGGGGTGGAGGGAGTCCCTGATCCTTTCACGTTCTTTTTGCTTTGTTATCATCATCAGGGAAGCTGAGTCTCTCAAGTCTCATTTTCCGGGAGACAGAACTTTTACTTGGAAGGGGTTTCCTCTGCTTTCTTCTTTTCTTTCTTTCTTTCTTTCGTGTCCATTGTTTGTTTCTTTAACTAGAAATCAAAAAGAAAAGAAGAGAGGAAAAAGACCCCAACTTTATATATTCAAAAGCTCTTTTTTTCTTCCCCTGCTTTCTCAGCCAGTCAGCCAGCCCCCACCAAGAAGAAAAAACGTAAAGGAAAAAAAATAAGAAAAAGGAAAGCCCGTCTCTTTCTCCCTTTTTCCCCCTTTGGCCTTTCCCTTTTCCATATGGGTGTTGTTGGTTGTTGTGTCAGCCAGCCTTCCTCAAAGCTTTCAGTTGCACAATAACCAGCAGTAGGAGCAGCTCTTGTTCTTCTACTTCTTCTTCGTCCTTTCGTTTCGAGTCCCCAGCAAAAAAAATGGCAGCTGATGGAGGAGTGCCTCATTTCAAAGATCCAGCTATCAAGCTCTTCGGCAGAAAAATTGCTCTCCCCGATTCCCAGATTCCGGCCAGACCTGAACTCAAGGTACATCACTTGCTCTACCTTGTTTCCGTCACTGAACCTAAAGATAAAAAAGCTGACTTCAGGCATTGAAAAAGCCTTTCTCTGGTGGGATTTCTTTATTTTGTTTTTTCTTTGGTTTGTGAAAGATAAGCGCTTTGGACCATACTTCTTCTGAATCTCGAGATTTGGTATCTGCGTTTTCTTTCCCTCCCTGTTTCCTTTCCTGGGCTTCTCTCTGTTTTCTCGTCCTTTGCTTGTGATTGGGCCTGTTCCTGAAAAAAATGGCGGGGGTTATTCCTCAGCTTCATAGTTTTCATGGGGATTAATGTCTACTTTTTATTAATGGGAATGGCGTGTCGTTTGGTGTTGTTTCCGTTCATTTTGTCTCAACTCTCAATTGAAGAACCAATATTAGGTACCATTTTAGCCATTCCTTTCATTTGGTGTTTGCTGCTTTGAATGAGGTTCATGTTTTCAGTGCTGTGTTGGTGTTGCAGAAAACTTGAATGGTAGTTGATATTGTTTTTCTCCTTTTCCAAATGTTATTGACAAAGCATACCGCTAAAAGCTCTCCCTTTTGAGCTTTCCCCCCCATCTTGTTGTGGTGAAGTTGAGACTAGCCAGCAGTTTCTAAGTGTTTTGTTTTAATAATCAGTTAAGCATAGTATATGAAACTGTAATTACGATGTGAAAGATAAATTTAACCTCTAGATTAGACCATAGCTACAATCCGTTAAGCAAAGTATATAATCTGTTTAAATACTAAATAGGGTTGTTCTGATGCCTTGTATGCTATCTACCAGACTAATAGCTGCAACAAAGATGAGAAAACAAATATGGAAATTGAAAGACCCTCAAGTGAAGGCAACTCTAAGGAGCCAGATCAGTCCTCAACGTGTCAAGAAACTGCAGAGAGAGGTAACTGCGATGGACAAGTCAAGGAGGCACAAAATGGTTCTAAGGATGATCAGATGGAGAGCAGCAGTGATCAAGAGAAAGCCATGAAGAAGCCAGACAAGGTGATCCCATGCCCTCGCTGCAACAGTTTGGAGACCAAATTCTGCTATTTCAACAACTACAATGTCAACCAACCTCGGCATTTCTGTAAGAACTGCCAGAGATACTGGACAGCAGGTGGTACGATGAGGAATGTTCCTGTTGGGGCTGGACGAAGAAAGAACAAACACTTGGCCTCACAGTACCGCCAGATAATGGTCTCTCATGATGGTATGTCTGTTACCCGGGTGGAAACTCATGATCAGCAGCCTCCTGAACCTGCAACTGCTTCGATGTCTTGTTCACCCAGCAATGGGATGGTCCTCAAGTTTGGTCCAGATCAAGCACCACTTTGTGAATCGATGCAGAACGTGAACCTTGGTGATGGAGGAGATACAACGTCATGTGGGCCGCCTTCTATGGACGAGACGCCAGAGAACGTCGAGCATAAAAAAGATCAAGTTGATTCATCAGCACATTCCAAAGACCCAAATAGCTCAGCAGCGCATCATCATCCCATGCAATGCTTCCCTGTGGCACCATTGATTGTGCCTTGGAGTTGGAACAGTGTGGCTTCCACCGATCCAAATCAAGTCCAGTGGTGTCCTACTACACCTATGTTGGCTGTACCTGGTTTCTCGCCACCTGGGGTTCCTTTGCATTTTCTTCCTGCTTCATATCTAAGTTGTATGCCCGTGTGGCCTAATGGTTGTCACTCTCCATCATCTTCTAGCACAAGCTGCAGCTCAGGGAACGGAACACCAACCCTTGGCAAGCATTGTAGGGACACGAGTCTTGATGATGAAGAGAAGGTGGAGAAGTCAATAGTTATTCCGAAGACACTTCGGATTGACGACCCAAACGAAGCATTGAGGAGTCCTCTGTGGTCTGCATTAGGTCTGAAACAGGAACCGGGTGTGCTTGTGACTAAAGGTAGCATCTTTAAGACCTTTCAGAGCAAAGGGGAAGGGAAGGTTCCTGTTCAGGAATCTGCTCACATACTGGAAGCTAACCCGGCTGCTCTTTCACGTTCTCAAACATTCCAGGAGGGTAGCTAGAATGGATAAGGGTTCTTTTTTTTCCCCGCACCATGGAGTTTTGCCTTACCCCACCCTCAGAAGGAGAAACTTTTCTGGCTTTATTTAGTTTACACTTGATGATTTGTTCCTCCATGAAATAAACCGAAGGCTGTCATTTTGTGGTTAACTCAGCCTCTTTACAGGAGCTGACTTTGTAAATAGTAGAAGGTGAAGAGATGGTTCTGTTGGTATGCTTTCTTTTTCTCTCCATGTCCATTCTGTTGATTCAGCAGCAAGAAAAGAACTCATTTTTATGACTGGTTGCTTCCTCTGTAGGATCAAAACCAACTTTTCTTGGACATAGCTTTAGAATTCTTAACATAATACCGATCATGATTTCCAAGCTTCGAACATGAGACATCTGATCGAAGTTCATGTTCTTGAGATAAAGCAGATTCATGATTAGCATTAGTGTTACGCTTAAAGACTTTTGAGTTGGGTTGATTTATGTGTAAAGAAAAGAGCAAAAGTAGAGCTCAAAGATGCCATTCCTCCTGCCACCAATTTCAGGATGGAGAGAGTGGGTGGTGTTGTTCACCCTTGTAAGTTGTAAGTAACCCTCTTCTCTTTTCTGATCTTTTTGTGCCCTTTCTGGTTTCTGTCATGAATTGCCTCAGCAAAGTTTTGAACTTTGCCTGTGTTCCGTTCTTTGCGCATGAAAAGAGGTTTTGAGGAATATAGGCCTATTTAGTCTCCCAAACTATGTGCAGTGGCCAGTGAGTCACCTCCATGGCCCCATTCATGGAGGATAAAAGGAAAAAGGCTGTCAAAGAAAAGCACTACTCAAATTGATCAAGTGCTTGCTTTACTTATCCGTATCTCATTTGGAAAAGTGAGGCAGCGACTTTTGCTTTGTAGTTTGTAGTAGTATTATTCAAAAAAAAAAAAAAAAAAAAAAGACTTTTGCTTTGTAGTAAAGCCCTTTTCCCATGCCAATTCTGATCATGCTAAGGTTGAAATTTTCCATCTAATCCACTCGTGTGGGTCCGGATACTATGTTAACGGTGAGGGAATGATAGATTTCAGTTGTTTGATCGACACAACCGACATTATTTACAGATGTCATTATTTACAGATTGTTAATAGATACTATTTACATGACTTTATCGACATTACTATTTAATTGAAAGTGTTAATTATATTGTTAATCATGTTATAAAAAATATATAAAAGAAAGATTCTGGTAGGGATGAGTATTGGATGGTTTAACCTACAAATTTACTCGCAATCGATCCACTCATTATCATGCGGGTGGTTTCTATGGGTGGTTGTATGTTGTAAAATAGGTGATCCACAAAAGATTGGGTGGTTGCGGGTGGACTGTGGTTGACCCACGATCTGCTCAACTTTTTAACCTCAAATCATCGAAGCTCTAACATATAGTTTTACAGAAAATGAAACCCTTAAATCACATAAATTCCTCTCAATTTTGATCAAAGGATTATGTTGTGAGGTTTGTTTTGGAAATTGAAAGTACGCTTAACCATAACTAGTAGACAAAATGACAGAATAGGACAATTGTCTTTCTCAAAATGACACCATTACAAACTACCACTGATTCGTCCTTCATGCCTTCCATCAATTTGGAATTTTAATTTGTGATATGCTCACAACGCCTAGGCGAATGAGGCGCTAAGCAAGATTTTTTTTTTGTCTTATGTCTAGTGCCTTCTTAAACCTTGGTTATTATAAGGCTCAGACCATGTTCATCATTTTAATATTTTCGTAATTTGTGGACAATTACCAATACCAATATTGTAAAATTAATTATTCACTTGATTTGTGGATTGAGGGTTATCTAGTTTGAAAGTTTCTTTCATTTTAAGTTTAAAACTATTGAAATTATGTAATCATATAAAATATATGTTGTAAACCCACTGAATCCACCTAACCACCCATCATCCGCAATCATCCAACCCACATATGAAATATATGTTGTTAACCCAAAAATCCACCCAAATTCACTCGCAAACGATCGACTCATTATCATGTGGGTGGTTGTGTGTTGTAAAATAGGTGATCCACAAAAGATTGGGTGGGTGCGGGTGGACTGTGGTTGACCCACGACCTGTTCAACTATTTAACCTCAAACCATCGAAGCTCTAACATATAGTTTTACCGAGAATGGAACCCTTAAAATCACAAAAATTCCTCTCAATTTTGATCAAAGGATTGTGTTGTGACTTGTGAGGTGTGCTTAGGAAATTGAAGGTACGCTTAAGCATAACTAGTAGACAAAATGGCAGAATAAGACATTTGTCTTCCCCAAAATGACATCATCCCAAACTACCACTAATTCGTCCATCATGCCTTCCATCAATTTGGAATTTTAATCTGTGATATGCTCACAACGCCTAGGCGAATGAAGCGCTAGACAATATCAAAATGTTTAGCTTTTTGTAGTCCTTAAAAAATTATACAGAATGAAAAAAATTCATGACGTTCGGAGAGCGGATCACAAAGTTATGACCGTTCAAAGTTTGGAAAAATCGGAAAAAAGCTCGTTCGGGGTAGCAAACAACGTTTTTCCGGGACGAAGGCGAGACCAAACTGCCTATGGCTTGCAAGATCTCGAATAAGTTTGCTTACACTAAGATTCGAACCAATGATCTAAACAAACACATAACAAGCTTCCATCCACTAGACTATCTAGATTTATTATTTTGTATTCACGAAAAAAAATTATTATATACATATAAACCGCCGGGGGGCATGTGGCTTGAATGTGAATCGCTGCTTCCCAGCGCGGTTTATCAGACCACTCCATGCCAATGTGATTTTCATAAAAACTGCTGCATTATACGATTTACGAAAAAGGTGATCTTTTTGGAATTTCTCGAGAATGAGTGGTATTTTTGAATTTTTTTTTTCTTTTTAATGGTATTTCTGGAAATAAAATAGAATAACTTGAACTCTGGCATTAGTTTACGTATGGGCTATTGAGTGCTCTGTTGTTAGGGTTGGGTATTTTTCACTTGAAATGCTCCAAGAATATTATTTGTTGGGCACTTGGACTATAATCTAGTTGTGAAGTCACAACAATTTTATTAAATTTGATAGTTAATTTTTAATGGTTCAATTTTTAGCGTAATTTGAACAATTTTACCAATAACTCGTTTGGCAACAGTTTACTGAAGTTATTAGGGCAATGAGTTATTTTGAAATAACTCCTTTTACCACTTTGCTTATGCCAAATACCACACCCCAAATACCACATTTGCACGTTTATTCTAAACGAGATACTATAATCCAATTACTACTGAAATAATATTAAAATACCAAATAAATAATGAATGGTGTCTTTTGGTTGCAAATGTTGATATAACCATTACTATTAGGTAGTGTACTTTACCAATTATGATTAATTACATAACAAGTTAGCAAGTTATATAAATTGATTCAACATTTTGACTATTTTTTTAAAAAATAAGTATATATGCGAGGTAGAAAGAAATTGGTTAAAAATTGAGAAAAATATTTTAAATTAGTGTAATAAAATGGGTAAGTTGGTAACGAGTAAGGAGTAAGTTACTCGATGCGTTGACTCGAACAACTCGCAACCCGATCCGTCTGCAACCCGCCCGACTCAAAACCCGATGAACCCGTAACCCAATTTTCCTGAACCTGATTGAACCCGAACCCAATGAACCCGCAACCTGACTAACCCGCAACCCATTTGGACCCGAACTCGATGAATCTAAACTCAGTAAACCCGCAACTTGATGAACCCGAACCCTATTGAACCCCGCCCAAACCTACCCAATTGACACGAGAGTATGCCTCTAAAGTTGGCCTCAATTGGCTAGGATTATTCTAATCTATTTGTAAGGAGACCCTGCTCTGTCAATGGTTCAGTAGAGTTGTTGATCCCAAAGATCACTGGTGTTATCCGTCTCAAGAAATACAAGCCCAACTTCAAATTTAAGGCCTTCTTTCAACAGCTCATTTCGTTGTTAATGCCTCTACCTACGTGTTAGGGCTGGAAATCCGGTCACAGTTTTTTGGTCAAACCGGAAACCGGCCAGTTTAAACCGTCCCGGTTGTAACCGGAAACCGGATGCAACCCGGTCTGGTCCGGATTACGGTTGTCAATATATTGAGAAAAACCGTAACAAGTATAACCCGGTTAAAACCGCAAAAAACCGGAAACCGGACCCTATCCTATCCTGAAGCCCAAAGCCAAGCCCAGCCAAAACATATCCACTCACCCAAAGCCCAACCCGACCCCAATTCACCCACTCAAAGCCCATCCAGACTTGCAAAACCCTAAACGCCAACTCTCAAGCACTCCTCCAGCTTCTCTCAAACTTGTCAACCGTCGCATCTCTGTCCCTAAGCAGCATGTCGGAATCCTCTTCTTCTTCGTTCTCTCGTCGGCGTCCAACAGCTCTCCCTCCGGCTTTGGCGACATCTCACCCTAGCCGGCGATTCGGGTCTCTCTCTTCTCGAACTCCACCGAGGCGCCGACACTGCTCCTGAGGATGACATGCACGACCGCCGACCTGCTGACATCGCCGCCAAGAAGCTTTCCCCTGCTGACATCGCCGCCAAGATCCTAGTTGACATTGTAGCCAAGATCCAAACTTTGTTTGTCGAATCGCGGTGAAGAGGACAACGACGGAGGCGATGATGTGCGTGCGTCGACAACTGGATTGGGTTTTGATAGCAAAGAGAAGGAGAAGAAGAATCAAGAAGGTAGAGGGAGCAGAAGAATCGAAGGAGGGAAGAAGTGGATCTTCTGGAGATTGGAGAGGGAAGTGGGATATTGGAGAGGGAAGTGGGGGGATTAGGGATTGTATTGTGCGGGTGGGAATTTGGGAAAGAATTTTTTTTGGTCCAAACGTACCGTTTTTGAAAGGAAACAGTCTGCATCCAGTTTTTGGTTGAAACCGGATCGGACCGGATCTCATCCAGTCCGGTCACGGTTGAAACCGGGTGCCCATCCAATCCCGTCTTCGGTTGTGGTATTGATCAAAACGGTTTTAAAAAACCGGGTTAATCCGGTCCAATTTTAACCGGATTGGACCGTTTTCCACCCCTACTACGGGTGGTAATCGTTCCGGTGGTTATCAGTTAATATCAGTTTAACTGATAACCAAATATGAATTATTATCTGTTTAGTAAGTGTTTGAGATTCTTAATAGTGTAAATGGGAATGAAAGGTGAAGGAGTAAAGAGAAGCTATTGAAATACCATATTCATGATATATGGGAAGGAGGCTTTGGATTCGGTCAATTGATTTGAT